CATTGTCTTCATACAATATTGTTGGAATATTCTCTTTCGAAGAAAAACCACATGTTTGTTGAATGTGTTGAGTTATAAAGCAAATGAGTCTAAGCCATGCTTGAAACGTGGTAGACCAATCGGTTCTAAAGATAAAAATCCTCGAAGAAGAAAAGGAGCAAGTGATCAAAGTGAACATAACACAGAGGTAGTGGCTCAAGAAGAGCCCCAAGACGTAACAAATGATAAGACCTTAGGGGAGGTCCAGGTACCTGAAAATAATGAGAATGAAGAGATATCAATAAGTTACGTCTCAACCGGGAAAAGATGGAACCGAAATAATATTGTTATCGATAACATTTTTGCTTATAATGTTGCTGTTGAAATAATGCAACAAGATGAGGATCTTGAACCAAAATCTGTCAATGAATGTAGACAGAGAAATGATTGGCCAAAATGGAAAGACGCTATCCAGGCAGAGTTAACTTCACTTGGAAAACGTGAAGTCTTCGGACCCATAGTTCGAACACCTGAAGGCATAAAGCCAGTAGGGTATAAATGGGTTTTTGTGCGAAAACGAAATGATAAAAATGAAGTCGTTAGATATAAAGCACGACTTGTGGCACAAGGGTTTTCCCAAAGGCCTGGAATTGATTATATGGAGACATATTCTCCTGTAGTGGATGCTATCACCTTCAGGTATCTCATAAATATGGCAGTGCAAGAAAAACTTGATATGCATCTAATGGATGTTGTTACAGCCTATTTGTATGGATCATTAGACAACGAAATTTTTATGAAAGTACCTGAGGGATTTAAAGTGCCAGAAGCATATAAAAGTTTTCGAGAAACTTGTTCAATAAAGCTTCAGAAATCTTTATACGGATTGAAACAATCAGGTCGTATGTGGTACAATCGCCTGAGTGAATACCTGTTGAAAGAAGGGTACAAGAATGATCCAATTTGTCCTTGTGTCTTTATAAAAAGGTCTGGATCTGAATTTGTTATAATCGCCGTGTATGTTGATGATTTAAATATCATTGGAACTCCTGGGGAGCTTCCAAAAACAGTAGACTGTTTGAAGAAAGAATTTGAAATGAAAGATCTTGGAAAGACAAAATTTTGTCTTGGTCTACAAATTGAGTATATGAAAGATGGAATATTTGTCCATCAATCGACATACACCGAAAAGATTTTAAAGCGATTCTATATGGATAAAGCACATCCATTGAGTACCCCGATGGTTGTGAGATCACTTGATATAAAGAAAGATCCATTCCGACCTCATGAAAATGATGAAGAGCTTCTTGGTGCCGAAGTACCATATCTTAGTGCAATTGGGGCATTAATGTATCTTGCCAATAATTCCCGACCAGATATAGCTTTCTCAGTAAGCTTATTGGCAAGATTTAGTACTTTGCCAACACAAAGACACTGGAATGGTATTAAACATATATTCAGATACCTCCAAGGGACCATTGATATGGGTTTATTTTATTCAAATGAATCCAAGCCATCATTGATTGGTTATGCAGATGCAGGATATTTGTCTGATCCACACAAAGGTCGATCTCAGACAGGCTATTTATTTACAAGTGGAGGTACAGCCATATCATGGCGTTCGACAAAACAAACTATGGTTGCTACTTCTTCAAATCATGCAGAGATAATAGCCATTCACGAAGCAAGTCGAGAATGCGTTTGGTTAAGATCTATAACTCAACACATTCAGCAAACATGTGGTCTTTCTTCGAAAGAGAATATTCCAACAATATTGTATGAAGACAATGCTGCATGCATAGCTCAATTGAAAGGAGGATATATCAAAGGAGATAGAACAAAACACATTTCACCAAAATTCTTTTTCACTCATGATCTTCAGAAGAATGGTGAAATAGATGTACAACAAGTTCGTTCAAGTGATAATTTGACTGATCTGTTCACTAAGGCATTACCAACCTCAATATTTGAAAAGCTGATATATAAGATTGGAATGCGTCGTCTTCGAGACATTAAGTGATTTTTCATCAGGGGGAGTAACTATACGCTGCACTCTTTTTCTTAACCAAGGTTTTGTCCCACTGGGTTTTCCTGGTAAGGTTTTTAATGAGGCAGCAAGCAATGCATATCATAAATAACTATGTACATCCCAATATTTTTTTTAGAGAGTTTTTAACGAGGCACATTATCTATGGACATCCAGGGGGGAGTGTTATGATGAATATCACATTATGGTGGATGTCTACTCTTCTTCCATGATCTTCATCTAAAATGTTTAATGACATATTCAATGACATAATTTGTATGTTCAATGACATATTCCATGACATATTTTCTTCACTTTTTATGCCTATATAAAGGCCTTGTAATAGATAGGAAAAAATACACAATTGAAGAAGAAAATCTCTTCATTCTCTCTATCTCTATTTCTTGTTCATGTTTTACTAAATTGCTTTTATTTTATAAGAGTATCGGCATTTTAGGAGTATTGTTAAAAACTAATGTCAAACGTCAAAGGAATACTTTAATTAGTCGTTAAATAGCAAAATCCAAATATAGCCAAGAGAACAATCCAAAAACTAATGAAAAGAAAAGGGTGGGGAAAAAAGATCTAGAAAAGCAGCCGCATGGTTTCATCATATCTGTCGTCTTCCTCATCTTACTCCTAATTCTTCAAAACCCACTCCCAAAAAGTTAAACATTAGTGGTGATACATTTGCTCGTAATATATAGTATGTCGCTCGTTTTAGATAGGCAAAATTCAGGATTCCTTTAAACTTGATAACTTTTACCCCTTCACCTAATAGAGGGCATTTAAGCTAACATAATGGTGAAAAATAAATTGAATAAAAATTGTCATGTTCAGGAGGGACCCGACCAATTCGGCCTTTTAAATAGTATGTCTTTATTTATACCTTACTCCAAAAGAAGGGCATTAAAAATATATATACACACTTTTTTTAGGTAAAAGTTGTCCGTAAATATTTTGAGAGATGTATTATAATGAAGCGTTCTTTCCATTTTTATTGAAATAACTATTTTAAGAGGACATAATTTTTTTTTAGGAATTGTAACGTGAATCAAAAGTACATATACAAACATGTGATTTTAAATATTTCATGAAAATCTTTTTGATGTTATTAAATATAACATGAAAGCTTTAGGTGAAAAATTAGTCATACAAATTTAATGATAAGAGTACTAGTGTTAGGTGACATTCTACTAGAGTTACTTTTCTTTTTAGTTTGTTTCAAAACAAATAACACATTTTTAAATTTGGAAATAATTCAACTTTAAACTCTTTCATTTTACCCATTTACCCTTAATGAGAAGTTTTTATAACAACACAAATGACATAGCCCCACAAACTTTTTACACCTTAAGCTTTTAAGACCACAAATTTTAAAAGTCTTCTTCTTTTTTCTTAAACTCCGTACCGAGTCAAATTACCTCGTATATAATATGAAAAGGAGGGATTAGTTATTGTTTGTCAATTTGGCAGAATTTGACGTTATTGTGAAAACTTGATGGTGACATGATTAATGATTCAACGGCTGAGATTAATTGAAAGAATGGAGTATACCAAAAATGTGTGTGCGCACATGTACAAACCAAAAGTTGCCCGTGCAGATATTCACTTTTAGATATTTCTGCCTAACCACATGTTTATCAAAGGGTATTTATATAACTTCCTGACGAAAATTTAACGCCGTCAGAACCGTCATTTCATTTCAGTGTTGGCATCTGACAAGGCAAACTGAAACTGTGAAACCACTGACGTCGACGTTGTCTCTTAAATCGAAAAAATATCTAAAATGCTCAGCAGTTGCCACGTGTCCCTCCTTTAAATCTGTCCTGATTCGGCCCAAGCCCTCGATATCCTTCTTTTGATTCTGCCTCAGGATATTGACTGATGTGGCATATCTCATCCTACGTGGAGACTATGGGGCCTACATTTTGTCCACGTCATCTGCTTCAATTCGTCCCAACTTCCTGGTTTCTTACTATTACCTCATAATTAACTTTCCGTGGATATAGTAGTAAAGTGTTTCTTCGTACAACCAAAATCTCCCTGTGAGAAAAACAGTTAGAAACCCCTTTTGGTTTTTACTCGATAAAGCAATTCATTTTTATATCTGTTCCTTAATTTTCTGTAAAATTCATTATGATATAATTAATAATTTTCTCTCCAAATCAGTTTTCATGACTCAATTGCTCTATTTTTTGCTGGGTTTAACGGAATTTCGATTGAAAAAGCAATCCCTTTAACTGCTTTCTCGATGACCTCAGAAGGTGCGTCTCTATTAATTATCATCAAATTCAAGTATATATTGTAGCTATATGTCTATTTTTGTTTTAGGTATGTGTCTTTCTGCTATGCAATTGTATCATATGCTTAGTATCATTCTCTGTGCTGGTTAGTACTACGGTTTAGTGTGTAATTATTAAGTAGTATTTCAATACTATTGATTTTGTTATTCAATTGATCGTATTTTTATGACGGTAGTGTTTGGGTCAGTTTGTGCCACCTCGTCTATTCCATCAGGTGCCTGCTACCTTCCATCAGTAGAGGTACTGGGTAACTCTGCCTACTATGGCTTAGGCTGATGAGAAGAAATTTACCTTGTGTTTTACCTCGATTATTCGATTAATCGTCTAACATTTCTAATGTGGAATAGGTTTGAGAGGGTTTGTTATGAAGAATTTGGGTTCTTGATGAAGAAGCAATGCGCAGTTTGGTTTAGCTGACAAGGATTTATGAGAGATTATGCCGGTACCACATCTTCCTTCGCATTAGTATTTTTGGATCTGGTTCGCAGGGAGTGTTTCAATGACTATAGTTGGTGATGAAGAAAGAGAAATGCCAGATGAGGACAAGGTTATTGGAGATGGGATTTCGCATGAGAGGCTAAATGTGGTTCAGGATAATAAGATTAACACTAATACAACCAATAGTGATAGAATAGATGTGAGAGGGAACACATTGCAAGCTCAAGGTGGTTTGAAATTGCAACAACAGCAACAGAGTCAAGGGTCGGTAGTCTGTTGGGAACAATTTCTTCATGTCACCTCCATTAAAGTGCTTCTGGTGGAGAATGATGATTCTACACGACATGTCGTCTCTGCTTTACTTCGAAATTGCAATTATGAAGGTTAGTTCTGTGTTATTTACTATTGTCAAGTTTGAGTTTTAGCTTGATGCAATGTTAGCAAATAGTTATCATTGGTTTTTTTTTTTTTTAAAAAAACCCTAGGTTGTTCTTGTATCTGCATAGCTTTCCTTTTATGAAAAAATAAAAAGATGTATGTATAATACAACAAAAAGTGTAACTATTTTAACAAGCGAATTGAAATAACTAGTAGGGGTATAATTTAGTGGAATATATGAAGTAAAAATCATATCAATCAAGTTGGAAAATCATCTTAAATTTCTGATTTAGATGAAAAGATGCGGGTTCATGTTTTTGGGAGCTAGTTTTCTTATTCTAAAATTTTATTTCTTATTGTTAACGACTAAAATTTCATTCGTAACATTTTTTAACAATTAATGTATTTGATGGGATTGCGATGTCCAATGCGAACAACTAAGATATTTAGGCTCGTTGTTCCAAGATAACGGAATGATAGATCAAGATGTTACACATATAATCAAAATTGGATGGTTGAATGGAGAACTGCTACTGAGGTGTATGTGATGGAAGGATGTCTACCAAAATGAAGGGTAAGTTCTATAGAACAGCTATAAGTCAAGCAATGTTATATGAGGTGAATGTTGAGCCGCTAAAATCCGATACATCAGTCATAGAGATGTGGATGCTAAGATGGATGTGCAATCATATAAGATTAGACGAGATTAGAAATGACCACATTCACGAGAAGGTTCAAGTAGTACAAATTGAAGATAAAATGATAAAAGGTCGCTTGAGATGGTTTAGTCATGTCTCGGGTCGACCACTAACTGCTGCGTTCCATAGATGTGAAACTATGGTGAGTGAAGTTTGTTAAAAAAGATGAGTTAGACCTAAAATCACTTGAAAGGAGGTTGTCTCGAAAGACCTATAATCTCTTGGGATCCATGCAAACTTAGCGAAAGATAAGGCATGATGGAAGAACAAAAATCTATATAGGCTATACCTATTAGTTGAAATATGTTTTAGTCATGTTAGCACTTTTACTTTACGTCTTATGCTTTTCTATGAGTTGTTTAGCCTTTCAGAGATTTAATCAGTAGGAAATATAAAGAACTTTTAGTACTTTTTATTTATTTTTTATTTTTTATTTTTTGTTTTGTATAATATTGGCCAGAGATGAGTTCAAATGGAGTAACACGGTCTTGAAGATTCATATACGCGATCTTAACTTGTTTGGGACTGAGGCATAATAGTAGTAACAATGGTTGTTGTAGTAATGACCTCTTAAAGACAGCGCTGAGGGTTATGAGGCGCTCGCTTTAACACCTTAGCCCCTACACTAAGCGAGGGAAAACACACAACCTAGCTTAAACTAAGTTTCAAGGGTTAAGTGTGCCTTAAATGAGTCTCTAACAACAACGATGGAGATGCCTAATAGATGAGCTAGCTGGACTTCTTGTTGGATTCAGTTGTTGGTTGAGCTGAGGGTTTCACATACTGAGTAAGACATGACATATTTGTCTTCTTAAACAATGATTTATGGAGGGTATTATCCGATTCCTGAAAAGCGAGTGGACCACCTTTTATTAAAGTTATTTTATTAAAATGTATTAATCCATCTTTTTATAATTGAGAAATCCACAAGGGCCAGTGACATAAATATATTAATCCTATCAGCAGTAAGATTTCTGTTTTACACTTAATATTTCATTTATGTGCATCTTATAATAATCAGATATCAACAATAAATATGCTTAAATAATTTAAGTTGGAGTCTCGCCAACAACTTGATTGAGCCCAAGTTCGAGCATGATAAATATTTAGATCAAGTTTGATGTGGTTCAGTTAATCATTAATGCTGGCTCAAGTGTTCAACACTTGTTTTCTGTAAAACTTTTAAGAGAAGACATGATCCAATCGGAACTTGACACGTGAAGATAGAAAGGAAGGGAGAGCGGCCCTTATACAAGGCTCTTGAAAAGGGAGGACAAAGTTTTCCATATCTAGCAACTTAGTTCCATTCCTTAGGTTAATCTGGCAGTTTAAACTAAAACATAAATATGTTCATCTAATTTGTATCTAAATTTGTGAATCTTGTTTATGAAACTGTATACTGGCAGCAGAAATCTTTCATGGTGTTCATACTGATAAATATTTCACTTCAACTTAATATGAAGTTTCAAGTTTCATTTTGTGTGATATTTGGTAATAGGAACCTAAGTGCTTCTCTACGCTTTTCCCTTTTATTTACACTCTAAACTCATGAGTAGTATCTGCTGTATTTGTTGTAAATATCTTTTGTGTGGTTGCTCTCTTATCACTTTTGTATTCTTTATTATCATCTCATAAACCTTGTTATTTGCAGTTATAGAAGCAGCCAATGGATTGCAAGCTTGGAAGATACTGGAAAACCTGACCTATCATATTGATCTAGTGTTAACAGAGGTTGTAATGCCTTGTTTGTCAGGCTTAGGCCTTCTATGCAAAATCATGAGCCACTACGCACACAAGACTATTCCTGTGATCAGTAAGTAACCCTTGCTATGTTGGCCAATGCGCCTATTGTAAAAGTCTTACTACACTATGTTTAATTTTGATTTGATACTATTAACACCTGATGAGGGCTGTGTGCAGTGATGTCATCTCACGATTCAATGGGTTTAGTCTTCAAGTGTTTGTCAAAAGGTGCAGTTGACTTCCTGGTAAAACCTATACGGAAGAATGAGCTTAAGAACCTGTGGCAGCATGTGTGGAGAAGATGCCACAGTGTGAGGCACCATTACTCTCAAGATTCTTTTTCTTCTAAGCTTCTTGGTGTAAAATGAATGGCTGATGCACTGATGTCCATCCACATACCTGAATTATCAGTTATTGTTAGTTATGGAGATTAGTGTCTGCTAATTTGTTCAATGGGCTGTTTTTCTAGTTATAGGCTGTTTCTTAGTTGTGTGTAATATGCCATTTCTGTACTCACCTTTTAAAGCTAGCCTTCCCAGTGTTTTCTGTACTGCTGTGATTAATTCATTTTCATTTTCTCAGTCTAGTGGAAGTGGGAGCGAAAGTGGTACTCAAACCCAAAAATCTATAAAATCAAAAAGCAAGAAGTCTGAAAACAACAGTGGTAGCAATGATGGGGAAGATAATGGGAGCGATGACCTAAATGTTGGAAACGGCAGTGATGATGGAAGTGGCACACAGGTACTGACATTTGGTTGCCTTCACTAAAAAATAAAGGACATTGTGCAAAATCTGCCTTTTAGCTTATTTTTCATTTATTCATATGCAGAAAATAACAAATGATAGCAACAGCCTCGAAAATGGGCTAGGACTCCTCTTTCATAGTTATTTGAAGCATTAGATAATTGAGGTGATTTCCTCTTTTTTTTTTCTTCGAAATGTTCTACTGATTAGTATATGTAGACGAGAGTCTGAGGCAGTATATTCACACATTAAGAACACTAAATTCTGCAGCAAATAAACGAGGTAGAAATGTAAGACTTCATTTGAGTTAGAGTGCATTGGTTAGTCCATTGTGACTTAGATAATTTTAGATGTCCTAGCAATTGAAAGCAATGGTTATATAAGTTTCTTACAGAAAGGAAAGAAGTAAAAACTCCAAAATTTAATGTGTTTTTCTTTAGTCACATTATCATTACAATTCAACATAATAGTTCTATTATGATGTCCCAGTTAAGCATTAAAATTCCCATGCTTAATGGCTAATAGAAGTACAGAATCATTTAAATAATATTTCTTTGAGTCTGAAATTTTTATTTTGCAGAGTTCCTGGACAAAGCAAGCTGTTGAAGTTGATAGCTCTCAGGCAGTACCTCCACGGAATCTGTTACCTGAGTGTTCAGACAGCACTTGTGCACAGGTTCTTCATTCAAATGCAGAAACCGCTGCTAACAGGAGTGCACACATAACCACCAAAAGAAAATGGCAAGTAGGAGAAGAAAAACCTGGTAATGAGTATTACTCATCTTTTTCTCCTCTTTGGTTCTAGCTTTTCATAGTTGACTGAAAATGTATCAATCATGTGTTTCATTGAAGATTACATTGCAAAGGGAAAACCCTCCCTCATAGGCATACCTAGAAATCAGAAGTCACAATCTGAAAATGCAATCCAGATTCCATCCAAACTTGTTGGGGCGAAACAGAACAGTCTGCTGGAAATAGATTCCAATTCAAGCAGTTTTAAGATGGATAAATACCAGGCAAATCTAGATCGTAATTGTCCATCCACTGAATATCATGATGTGACTGCTGAGACGTCTCATCATCGGAGTGACAGCAGAGAGTTGAACAAAGCTGTATTAGAAAGCAATAATGCATCCATTAATGAATCTAAACAGCCACTTCTTGAGCTAAGTTTGAAAAGGCTAAGAGGACCAAAAGAACCAGGGAAAACTGCTCAAGATGATCGTAATGTTTTGAGAAGATCAGATCTTTCAGCTTTCTCAAGGTTTGGAGACAATATTTACTAGTTTATGCTTTCTAAACTATTTTATCAGAGCTACTGCTGATTTCCTTTGTTGGATGGGAACTTTCAGCAATTTACCTTTTGCTCTGTGGGTGGACTATTTTGCAGGTATAATTTGTCCTCAAACCCTATGACGACTCCTCATGGGATCACCCTAAGTAGTTCTTTAATTGATAATAGCCAAGAAGTTGCCAAGAAAGAGCCTGTATGTGATATTCCAACTCAGACAAATGAGAAATTACAACATCCAACCTCAAATGGAACGGGCAATAATATAGATATGGGGTCCACCACTAATAAACTTCCTAAGGAGCTATTACTTTCTATAGATAAGTCAGAAGCAACATCGACAATTAACGATTTGCAACCATCGTCAGCTTTCAAGCCTGTAAAAATTGACTTCAGAATCTCTCCTCAGCAAGGGCAACAAGTTAAGCCTTGTAACATGCAAGCCACAACCAGTCTTGCTCCGCAAGGCTCTCACACTGACATCCTAATTCAGCAGCCTCATCAGCACCACCGAGATCATCATGTCAACGACCTGGATCAGCGTTGCACTTCCAATCATGTTGATTGCTCATTGAAAAAACTGGCTGTGGGTGGACGAAGTTGTGCTTCGTCCAATATTCTAACTAGGCCTTATGAAGGGAACCCTGAATATCAGAGTTTGAACAGAAGTGCTTCTGGAAGTAACCGTGGAAGCAATGCGCAGGATGGAAGCTACACGGCTATAAATGCTGGAGGCACAAATGCAGAAAGTGATAATGGGTTAGCTGGCAAAAATGGAAGTGGTGATGCCAGTGGCAGTGGTTGTGGAAGTACGATAGATCCTTCTAAACTTACTAGAGCAGCAGCCTTGACCAAATTTCATTGGAAGAAGAAAGAAAGATGCTTTAAAAAAAAGGTACATTCGAACAAGCAATTTGTATCTTATCTATCATAATCTTGTTTTCATCAGCGACTTATCCTATTCCTAGTTTCTTGTGAATCTTTGTGCTTAAGTACTTTTGGTATCAGCACATTATACTGAGAGCCTCCTAATTTACTTATATAAGACACATAAATTTCAGCAGTCAAGTTCATTTCTTATGCTTTAGAGTTGAAGTCTACTCTAGTCCATTCTCTAGCACACAAACGCAGCGTGACATAATAGTATAATTCTGCAATTTTTTCATCATCTTATGACCACACCTCCCTTAAATTAATTTGTTGGTAATTGATATTTGTTTTAGTTTTCTAACTAGTATTACTCTCTCCATATAAAATTAGGTGTCACAAGTAGATTGACATGAAAAAAATTAGACAAGAGTTGAAAATTTAATTTAACTTGATGGAAGTAGGTATTAACTTGTATTGACTTAAACTTTTAATAAGTTTAAAATTTTTGTGATGGTTAAAGTGAAACTTTTTTTCATAAATCCAGCATGAAGAGAAGCAGATCAGTCAGTGTACTATTGTCATACCTGGTCAATGTGTTTATTTGGTGTTATATGTAGATGACTTAACCATTTTAGGCGGTGACTATGAGAAAATCCAGTTAAAAAGGATATCAAACCAGTCATTTCCAAACCAAGGATTTAGGAAATCTAAATACTTTCCTGGTAACACCTAATGGAGAGATGATACTGAGAAAGGAGGCATTTATTAGATATTTTTAAGGAATATGATGCAGTGCAACCTATTGAGTCCCGTTGATCCGGACAATGAACTGTTAGCAGATCAGGCGAAGCCATGTCCAAATCCTGAAAGGCACCGAAGGCTAGTCAGGAAATTAAACGGTGTCACTATTATCTGAATAAACATTTCTTTTGCTGTGGGTGCAGTGAGTCAGTTCAGGTTGTTTCTATGTACTAGTCATTAGGATGTTTTGTGAATCTCAAAATACACTAGGTTAAGGATGGTTGTATGAAGATGTTGAAGACATAATTAAATAAATAAAAGTGTGTTCTTTCTAACATCTTAAGCTTTTAGATAAGATGGTCACACATTTCAACATGGTATCAGAGCAGGCTGAGGTCCTGGATTCAAGTCGCACAGCCACCCAATATCAAAAAGAATTTTCACGTTCTTGGCTCATTAAAAAGAACCAAGCCCGCATATTAGGAGGCGTGTTGAAGACATAATTAAGTAAATAAAAGTGTTTTCTCTAGCAGTTTAAGCTTTTAGATGAGATGATCGCACATTTTAACAGAAGACAATGGGAAATACTGGATATATTGATGCAGACTAGGCTGGTTCACCAATAAAATGTTGTGTTTTTGTTGGTGGTAATCTTGTAGTATGGAAAAGTAAGAAAAATAATGTTTTGCCCAATCTAGTATAGAAGCTTATATTGAGCCATGGCAACAAGGGGGAAGCTTAATATCAAGCCATGGCAACAACTTTTGTAACCCCATATGGGTTAAACGAGTAATCGGAGAATTGGCGTTTGTATACTAGACATTAAATGAAATGTTGTGATAATCAAGCAACACCACATATAGGCAGTTGTATGGTACATTGAAGTGTTTTTATTGTAACTTGGCTTGATATTGCCATTCTAGTCACTGTCGCAGGTTAGTTTATGTGCTCTCCATGTGACTCATTGGGATGCAAGTGTATATATCCTTTGTATAAAATCAAATCCAAAGAGAGAATTAATGTCTAGGATCAAGGAAATGAGTAGATATTGGATACAGAGGTGTAGATTGAGCAAGATCGCCTTCTAATATACGTTCTACCTTTGGATGGTTTAATTATAGGCGTAGGAGAAGAAGACCAAAGGCATGGGAGGTAGCTTTGTTGGCTCTTATGTGGGTCGTATGGAGAGACAAATAGGAGAGCTTTTAAGAGGATTGAAAATGATTTTGTACAATTGAGGAATAGCCTCTTTTGCTTTGATGGCTTTTTGGTGCACCCTTGAGATTCCTTCTTGTACAGATGAGGGTATCTTTCGTAGAGAATCAGGTTTTGTTGTAGATTCTCTACTTTTAGTATATCTCTTGGGAGTTTTCCCCNTTTTAAAAAAAAAAAAAAAAAAAAAAATTGTAGGTAATTTTGTGTTGGTAAGATCAAAAAACAAAACGTGGTTACTAGCTCTAGGACAGAAGCAGAGTATCACACAACGGTTGTTGCAACTTGCGAACTCAACAACAACAACAACAACAAACCCAGTGTAATCCCACAAGTAGGGTCTAGGGAGGGTACCACAGACCTTACCCCTACCTTTAAGAAGACAGAGCGCTGTTTCCAGAAGACCCTCGGCTAGGATAGGTAAAAGGAAGGGCAACAACAAGTATACCAATTAGAAAACCAAAGCAAAAATACAAAACTAAATACACTAGGTACTGCAATCAGAAAGCCGAATTTATTTGGATCAACTAGTTCTTCATAATGTATTGTAACCCGTGTTTCATAAGGTAACTAAACACATGGAGATCAACATCACTTTGTTAGAGCAATGATACACTTACGAGAAATTGTTATGGAATTCCTGAAGTCAAATGATCAGGTTGAAAATATATTCACCTAGTCTCTCACCGGTCCTCGATTAATTATACTTCCTCCGTTTCAATTTATCTGTACCTATTTTCTTTTTAGTCCATGCCAAAAAGAATGACCCCTTTCTATATTTGGAAGCAATTTACCTTTATCCAATGATCTATAGCCACAAAATATGTGTCTTATTTTACACCACAAGTTCAAAAATTCTCTTTTTTCTTAAATTCCGTGCCCAGTCAAATAGGTTCACATAAATTGAAATGGAGGGAGTATTTGTAGCAAGCTTGGTACATAGTATTTGTAACAAACTTGGTACATACAACTTGTATGTACCAAACATGTAGAAATGGATAATCCACATTTGTTATCCCTGGTAGGGGAGAAATATTACAAATATAAAATATAAGACCCAGTGACCTAGAATTTGGAAGAACCAAATTTTCGCATAATGCTTTGAGTACCTTGAAAACTTTGGGACCAACTATTATCCATTTTCTTTTACAAGTAGGACCAACTTCTAACCATGGCGTGACCTTTAGAAACTTTTTTCTTATCAGGTACTTTTTTTTTAGAATTACCTGATCACAATAAGGCCATTCACGATCTTTTATTCGTGGCATGAGATTGCTCATAGACCATGGTTCTAGTCTCTTATGGCAATTGCTTGAAATATAGAAGATGCTCTCGGAGACTAAACTGTAAGTATCGTATAGAAATTAAGCATACAATTTCTCTTAGAGGATATAATTGATCTAAAAGCAACTACAACCAAGTTACACTTGGGCTCCTCTAGAAGAATAACTGACATCACATATATTGTCTGACTCCTATAGTTGTCCTTATGGTTGTATTACTAATATTATAGTAGTTTCCGCTATCATAGGACATCAAAAGTTACCTGCCATCATCTTATAGCTTTAGATGTGGAATTTCGAATTGCTTTTTGCTATGCACTCAGTTGCAGTACTGCAGTTCCTTGAGGCTGTCTCTCTACAGCTTGCTACTAAATAGGCAAATATATTATGCTAGATGGAACTAATGCTTAAAAGATATCAAACTTATTGGTCCTTTAGTAATAGGCTGTTTAGTCAACCATGGAACAAACAGGAGTTTGCAGGATTTGTTTTCCATACTTTTACTTTGTAATAGGTAAAAGTAAAAGGAGTAACCCAACAAGATCAAAGATGATTAAAGTCCAGCTCATGTATAATACTAGATTCAAGTCTCTACATATTTGGGTTAAAGCACTAAAAAGGAGCTCTTCATTTGCTGCTTTCAGAAACTGTAGAAAGCCATTGGCCTATAGTAATATTCTGGAAATAGACGGTGCAAAAACTTAAGTCGAGTTACATTTATTCAAGTCCATTATTCTCTGCAAAAGTTTGTAGTCATGGTGGATAGAATATACCAATCCTTAAATGATTGCAGAGGCTATATCATGTAAATAGCTATGTATCGTCACTGTTTATTCCTCATATGCTCTAATATTACTTCAAATTTTACTTATATTTGTGCCTCTTTTGGCTCTGTCTATTCCCCTGGTTCCAATTTGCTTGGCACTCTTAATTGACACCTTTCTACATTTAGAAGCTGACAATTTAACTTTTCCATTCTGCATTGATGTGACTTATTGAAGGTCCCACGGGATAGAAAAACAAATTGTTTGCTATAAGAGTACTTTTCATATTTTATGTATATCTACCTTACGTGTCAGAAATCTTCCATTTTAAAATTGTGTCTGATCAAAGATGCTTAAAAAAATTGAGATGGGAGGAGTAACATGGAATTTTTTTCTTGTTAACCTGCTTACCTGGCAACAGTGCGAGGTTTTTCTGAATCCCAAATACAAAGACACATCAGAAGAAGTAAAAGAAGGAAAGGGAAGTTGATTATGTGATTCCCTGAGGGATAGGCTTCTTGGAACTTTGACGTTCAAGTGACAGTTAAGGTTAGCAATATAGTATTGGATCTTTTCTGTGGCTTTCGGATCCTCAAAAGATTCCAAAAGAAAGAGATGCCAATTTGGAGGAAATATTAAAATAGTTATGGATGGATGAAAATTACTTATGCATGTTTGATGCTATTGAGTACGAAATGATCGAGTATATATGTCAAATGGCGCTTCTATCTTCTTTTATTCAAGTTATAGAACTGATAATTAACATTGTGGATCAACTGTTACTTTTGCAGGGAAATGGACTGTAATTTTTAAATTCAGGTAGGCAATACTTGAACCATCATGTATGAACCTCTTGAGCAAATTGTAAGAGAAGACTGATTTTTCTGCTTCCAAGTCAAGTGATCCTAGCTAGTTGAAGCTGGTCTACTACCTCTCTGCATCATACAGTTGATTGTGAGGAACACACATATTTCTAGTTTCAGTAATCTTCCTTTTGTGTATCGTGCATGTGTACATTCAGAAAGTCATAGGAGTGCCTTATATGAGTAGGGAGTTGAAGTTTAGAAGGAATGAGGTTGACCTCAAAAGAGTACATGGGTTGTAGACCTAAAAGCTATGTGGCAAATTGCATGCAACGATCAAGGAGTTCTTCATTTTCTGTTATTTTGCTGAAGTCAAATGGCTAAACCATCCATTTGTGTCAGGATGGCATAGTCGCAGTTAAACAGGAGGATAGCAGAACAGTGGCAACTGTATCGAGGATATTTTCTGCGGCAGACAGAGCAAAACAACCCAAACAATACTGCAGAATGATGATTTTGAGTCGTACTTCCTGATCCTGCATGCATTAAGTTTGTTTGTTCATAATAGTGTCCTGTACTGTGAGGATCTGGTCATGTAAAACGTATAGTCAGCTTTAACCATTTATTCCTGGCAGATATTGACAGTGCCAGTAATTGTGACTTGTTATAAGGGGTGTTCTGCTTTTCAGCAAGTTGCCTTCTACAATAACAACTTGTCACTCTTCATTTGTGTCTAATGAACAAAATATATATGGTTTGATCCTGTTGGTGATAAATCTATGTTTCTGACATTCTGATGCTAGAATTAGCCTCTGGCTACCATTTTGGATTCCAGGAACAATTGGATCTCTTCTGCGGATTGGTATTGGCATTCTTTGTCATGAAATGTTTTAGTATCTTCCGTTATATGGTTGTTATTTGAAAGCTTGAAGTTTAATTCTTCCTACACAAATTAGCAAAATACTGATGAGCAAACTGCTACCATGTGACAAGGAGGTCACATGTTCGATTCGTGGAAACAGCCTCTTGTAGAAATGCAGGGGAAGGTTGTGTACAATAGATCCTTTTGGTCCAGCCTTTCCCAGACCCCGCACATAGCGGGAGCTTAATGCATCGGGCTGCCTCTTTTTAATGATTAAGAAAGTAGAAAAGTTGAGCATTTTTTTCCTCATGGTTATCTTTACTCGTATAATTTGTTGCTCGGCACTAGCAAGAAGGTAATTACTCTGTCCATCTTAGTTGAAGTAATTGCAGCATGTATAGAACCATTTGATTAGCTTCTATATTCTGTTTGTCTTCTCCGTTTTCCTGCAAACACCATCTTATCCCAAACTCATTCTATCCTTTGTATAATTGCACTATAAGTAATTGACTACAGTAATGCAGAGAAGAGCAACCTTATACGTAAATTGCTTGTGCTTTGAGCTGCAGGTCTACTTTGGATTTTGGCACCCCATGTGCTTGATGCCTATCCTATCTATGGTGGTACGGCCATTTCCGGAAACTACTACCCCTTCTGCTCGTTTTATGGGAAAACTGTTTATATTTACAAATTTCATTTTACCTTCAATAATATGCTTTTATATCCAAAAAATCTCATAGCTCTTAAATTATGTGCCTAGCTAAATGCTGACACATAAGTTGAAGCGGGGTTTTTGGGGTGGGGGTCCACGGTAAAAATTGCACGGGGCGCCCTATTTGGTCGACCCCATTTAATCTATATCTATTTTTTTAAAAGTTTTAACTTGTACCCACTTTTTAAACAATTTCAGCTCCTTTCTCCTCCTCCTTCTCTTCCTTCGTTTTCTTCTCCTTCTTCTTTCTTCGTTAATTGTTCTCTTTATTCTTAACATCGAGTTATCTTCTTTCGATGTTGCAGGTTCTATTGACCGAATATAAGAGCCTGCC